ATAAAGTAACTGAGCTGTTCCTGGATTTGTCTCGCTGTGGTTCTTGGGCTGAACCTGACAGTATGTCAGAAAAAGCAACTGTAAAAAGCATATTAACAAGTAATGAAAACAAAACATTATAATAGAGGAATGAAAGTATTACTTAAGGTATTATTAAGTAGATGATAGGGTAAATATTCAGCCAAACTGCTGAAGTGAAACAAAAGCACAAGATCTTTTATTGTGCAGACTATAATAATGAACTTAGTAGGAAAGAAAAGATCTACAATTGGCTACAGGGCTAACTGATTTTTGGAAAATAGCCAGATGAATCTGCAGTTCTAAAGCTGCTGAATTCAAGTGACATATGTGGGACACTTAGGACACTTGTGAAAAGGCTTTAATTTCTTCTCCCTATCTCAGTTTTAGCTGAGTGCAAGCTTCTGATTAAGAGGGAAAATTTGCCAAAGTCCCAAGGATAGGAAGGACTACTGACTATTAAAGGATTTCCTGTTAACATGTGGTTGGCCAGCAAGACATTTCTAAGTTGTGGAAGGTTCTCTGTGTTAGGGTGTCCTTAGGTCAGTCTTCTTCCTTTCCTCTTTAGCCGTCAGTTTACTGGCTTTGCCTTTTAACTCTTGGTTTCTGATTTCAGGCTCACAGTTCCTTTGATCCAGCATGAATGTAGCTTAGGACTTGATTGTCTTCAATTCCATATAAAGTATACTAGCTTAGTCAACTCCTCTATGAAGCTGTTTAAATTTACTATGAAAATCAAACTCAAGAAATGTATAGGAATGAGACAGGAAACATGGCAACTACCCCAACAAATAAAGTCACTAGCATCATTGAATTTTGCAAATTTTAGCATGAATTTAAAATTATAAGTATTATTAAGGGTTTTTTAATGTCAATAAAATGGATCACATGTTCTTTGATGGCTATTTCTCCTACTCTGAGTTTAATGTCTTTTTCTTGCAACATACAAAGTTAAGAGTTTTTTTAGAGTGCCCATGGCTGTTTTGTATCTTTACTATTAATGATTTTTTTTCTTTAAGTAATTTTAAGAAGTTATCAAGTGGAGATGAATATATGACACTAAATGGAGCTACATTAAAGAATCTTGAAATCTTGCGGAATCAGGTAAGGAAGAATGATTCATCTTACATATTTATGTGCTTTGTGAATTAAGTTCTACATTATTATTTCCCAGACCTTTTTGGTCTGTATATACATTTCACTCATTTTTCAATTAAGTAAAATTTAATCAAATGCCACATCCTAGAAACTGGTAATTCTTAAAAATATGTAAGTTCTGATCAGTCAGCCCTATTGCCCATGTATTATTTATGCCATTAAGAAGGAATCAGAAAAAGAAAGATGTAAGTTCATATATAGTAAACTCTCAGTTTAATGGACCATTCAGAGAAAGGGCTGAATATTAAAACCAAACATCTGTTAAATCTGAATGTCTGTAATTTGAACCAGTATAAATATACAAATGATGTAAACTATTCCATTTGCATAATTATGTCATTTTGGACTATGTGAGAGAAGTCCTGCAAAATCTTCAATGGATATCTAGAAAATTGAGGTTCTGCTGTATTTTAATAATTTCCACTAATTCACTTGGTAGATAATTTGGGCCTATGGGTCTAAATTTTCTCTTCTCACTCCTCAAATTACTTAAAAATACCATGTTAACATTTTAAAATTGTCTATATTTCAATTATTGAGTGACTTAATAAGAAACAGCACTTTTAGCAATCATATTCAGTATGACTTGGGGGTGATCTTGGCAGGCAATTATTTGTTTCACACTGTTTCCCATATGTTTTTTTTTTTTTTGAGCCTGCATTCATAGTATTTGGAGAAATATAATACTATTCATGGGACACTTCTCCATCTCAAAGTCTAGTAGGAGGCATCAACTAGTAGTAATAGATGGAGGAATCATGATTCACTGCATAGGCTGGATATTCCAAATGGAGTTACTTTTCTGAAATGACTGTAATTAAGTCCAAGTGTATCTCTGGGTAGAAGACTGAGGGTTAGCAAGTACAAGATTCAGTTTGATGAGCCTCAATTCAGAAAAGAGGTAGATTTTCCTTGAACTGATTAGGAGGATGAATCTGAAGTGGAATTTAAAAACTAAAGGGGCTTTTCATTACTTATTAAGTAAAATTTAAAAATTAATTAGCTATAATTTATTTAGAAATTAGACATGAATAGCTATAATTATGTTTTTACTTTTTTAACAGAGTTATATGAAACATGTAGGAATTGTAGAGGAAGGATCAGAAAGTAAATGAATGGATTGGAAATGAAAAGATGTAGAAAGAGAATTGAAAAACTGGATTAGGGATTGGTTCAATGGGTAAGCAACCAGGAGGGGTTAAATGTGCATTCATTTCACCAATATTCTCTGAAGTGTTCCTGTTCAGATTAAGGAGAATAGAGTAATAAACAGATTTGGACAAAACATTTCATAGGATTTTACCTTGATCTAACCTTCACTGGATTTCATGTAGTGAGGCATGAACATTGTCAGGTAATCTGGCAGTCCCAAAAAGCATACATAATTTATGGGAGAATCAGCAGTATGATGGTCAAGTCATAAATTTGAGGGTCAGACCAAGTTTCAGCACTTTGGGCTGCATAGTACAGTCTATGGCCTATCAGAGGCTGAGAAATCCAGACACAGCAGAGTTCTGTGCCAATCTACCATACATGTTCCAGTGCTTTACTTTCCTTACACAAAGACTTTTACACTTGAAACTCTTGGCCTCCATTGAGCACAGCTGGCATTGATCAGAAGTGATTATTGATGTTGAAGTACCTGGGAACATTATTCCTAAGGTGGGCTTCCAAGCAATCAAATACTTCTTTGTCTCTCTGCTCTTTGACTTTAACAATGGTGTCATCATTCTTTAGGCTTTGAAGCTCTGTCTCTGTGTTGGATCATAGGCCTGGACTAGAGAGTTGGAAATAGTGAAGCATGGTTCTACAGAGCTGTGCCATGGAACTACTGAATTAGACTCTCAAGACTCATTACATGGCTTCTGGTCTCCCCTCTCCTCAGAAACAGAACTAAGCTGATGATGAACCATGACACCCTCTTTCAAAAGAGTCTAATCAGAGAGTCTTGGTTAAACATTCTCTTTGATTAGAAGTGAGACGTATTAGTTATTTTAATCTCTCTGTTTACCCTAATAATTTGCATATAATGAGAAAGCAAAAGTGCTATTGTTGTTACTATTATTTAGAATAATAGTGAAGTGAATAAAATTCTTCCCAAAGCTTCTGGAATACCAATATTATGGTGGAAAATGGGAAACCTGTTCCTTTAAAAATGTTACTGAACTTCTATTGTCATTAGGTTACAGTCACGGATGATGGGAGTATGTAGAACTAATAGACACAGTATGAAGCAACTCTTGGAGTCATATTTCATCCAGACTTTTTAAATATATAAAGTATCACTAGTATTACTCTTTTGCAGTATATAACCAGTGTAACTATTTTTTAGAGCTAAAAAGAAACCAGAAAATTATATTTTTTGGAAGCAAATGTTTAACTATCGGGTTGTATGATTTTTGATACTGTTTTTATATTTGATATGGCTAAAAAATATTTATTTCTACAATATATTCATCCCTCCAGAATTAATAATTTGAGTTTATTTCTATTTCAGATTATTCATATTTTATATTCAATTTGTGCTCTAATATATTAATTAAAATATCTATAATTATTTTAGACTGATCTGAAAACAAATGGCAGCCTGTTCTGGATCTTGGATCATACAAAAACTTCATTTGGACGACGAAAACTAAAGAAGTGGGTGACACAGCCTCTCTTGAAATCCAGGTATTTATTACCAGACATATAGCTATATGGATCAGCTCAAATGTACTTAACTTTTGAGTACTATTCTTTTTCTCTCTTATTTTGTAAGAAGCTAGGTGAGTTGAGCAATACAAGCTTAGAGAAACAAGTCTGGTCATTCAAACCAACTCTCACTCAGTCTTTCTTATCAGAAAGAGAATTTCCAGCAATCTTATTTCTGTATGTATGTGTTTTGATTACCTGCTTTTAAAAATATAGTGATACTGTTTCATCATTTTTATTACTTATATTTTACTCTTAGCAGAGAGTTGGGAAGTAGCAGTCAGAAAACTGCGTGAAGTATTTTTGTAATAATTTTCCATATATGCTTCCTCAAAGAAAGTTCCATTGAGGCCATTGTGTGTTAGGGTGATGGAATGTAAACCTGGTTTTGGGACTGAACAAGTCCTTAAGGGAGGGAGTTTAGTGCCTCACAGTTGGTGTTTGATGGCTAAATTTCCAACCATGGAATGTTATGTAAAATACTGACCTGTCAGCAATTTATTTACAGTAATATATCAAGAAAAGCTGATTTTTCCCCTAATCAGTGTGTATTCAACCAGCTTCCTCTCCTAACCTATTATGATGAATTACTGTGGTTGCAGCTAAATGTGCTCTAATTGTAGTTCAGAATCATTGTGATAACAGCTTTTCATTATAAAACCATGCTAGATGGCTCATCTCTTCCCAGGAGGAATATCTATGACTAAAGCTTCTTCTAGATACAATAGTAATTTTGCTGAGAATTTGTAAAAATAAATAGTCCAAAGACAGCTGAGGAAAATGTGTGAGTGGGTTCTTAACTAATAGATAGAAAGGCCAACATATCAATATGTTGTTTATGTGAAATGATCTAGTTGCTGATCCAGTGTTGGACTGAGCTTACCCAGACCAAGGATTTAATACTTTTCCATGGTCAAATGTAATGGTTTTTAGATCAGGAATTAGTATCATATAATCTTTTGATGTGGAAGTAGAGCTGGGGTAGCTATGATGCTAAAACATACTAGAGATAATGGCATCTTATAATAGCGTAGTTATGAATTTAATTCTATATGGGTGAACCTCTTATTCTAGGCACTGTAAACATATTACTTAGTAAGTAAGCAATAAATATGCTCCCATATATGAAGATACTTCATATCTAGTCAATTAATCAGGGCTTATGGGCTGCTCAAATCAGACCCAATTCTGAGAAACACACAATTCCCCCTTTGTTACTTGGATTAAAACAAAATAAAATATAATCAAAACCATAAATTCATAATATAAGAGCCTAGAAATACTTGCAGCCCCTTCCCACAGTTAAAACCATTTCTGTTAGTATGGGAACAAACATCTTATTCACCTCCCACCCAACCTCCTGGGCTTGTTCA